AAAGAGCCGGGTCTCTAAAAAGAGCCGGAAATCCCATCACTAGTTTGGAATTTTCTCCAGGACTCAGGACAGATTGGCTACTTTTTCTTTTCAAATATCTAATGCTAATAAGCACTGCGTTGTCTCACTCACAGGATGACTTTTATGCAATTTCTTCTTCGTCTTCTTCTGTTTTACTGGCAGTTGGCAACCTATTTAATTGGAGCAAGAAGTTGTACTTCCCTCTAGTGGAAGAGAATGTAATTGTTCGCTTGGAGCAGGGGTGTCCAACTCCAGGCCTTGAGGGCTGGTGTCCTGCAGGTTTTAGACGTGTCCTTGATCCAACACAGCTAATTTAAATGGCTAAGTGACCTCCTCAACATGTCCTGAAGTTCTCCAGAGACCTGGTGATGAACTAATCATTTGATTCAGGGGTGTTGACCCAGGGTGAGATGTAAAATATGGTAGAGTACCAATCAGGTGAAACCAGATAATCTTTCTCACGGCACACATATGTGCCATGGCACAGTGGATGGAAAACACTTTTGCCCTTGACGTTCAGCCTGTTTTTAAGTCTCTTCACAGCACTGAATCTGTGCTGTTGAAGACTTTTTAATGATATTTCCGTGGCTACAGATTAGGGGAGTATCCTCACTCCTGAGGAGTGGTTTGGATTTTTCCTGGCTCAGAAAACTTTCTCTGTTACTCTAAACAATTTCCGATCATCCTCTGTTCTCCATTGTTCTGTGGGGATTTTGTTGTCCCTCCTGAAGGGCCATATTCCTCACCCTATCATTAAAGGAGAGCCACATTTCAGAGGAGACTCATTTCTGCCACCTGACAGGCTGAGGAGGCCTCTCTGCTGTTAAACTTCACCTGGAGGTGGAAATGGAAAATCCCATGGGCCAGGGCTTTATCCACATGCTTCCAGGACACTCTTACTATACGTTTGGGCACACCAGTCTTGTTCAAAACATAGATCTAGTAATAATTACACAATTGATCATCACCCTGCAATCTAAGGTGTACTAGTGTCAAGCGCACTTATAAACATCTGTATGCTTGAACACAGTGTTACTTATGAACAAACTGGTTGG